CGAAGCAATCTTGCGATTGGACTTTAATGACGCCAAGAAGTCGACGTTTCTTCATTAAGATGTTGTGCGATTATATTTTTTACTCGAGTAAATTTTCGTAACATATCCAACGTTATCAGATATCAGATAATGTAACTGACTATTATCCGTAAAAAATTATATAAATCAAGGCTCACTTTTTCAACTTGATGTTAAAAGTATTTCTATCTGCTATTGGTGCACATAAAACAAAAAGCAGAAGAAGAAAGTATTACGCGGAATTGATCAGCATTGTTATTTTTTTTATATTTCCTGTATTACCGTTTCTATTACATGTATACACGCGAATTGCGACAGTCCAGACTTTCAATTAAGGAAATAAGTTAGGGTGAAGTTTGGAGGGGGAAGGGGGTGCATCACTCTGCCATCTCAGTCTTAATTAAGGTCTGCTCCGTGTAGCGTGGAGACATTCACTTTTATTGCTACGATCGCCGGAACGATTCCATTACGAATGAATCAGAGTTGAGCGGAACTCAACGGTATGTAGTTAATACGTTCTCTCAATTACGAAATAATGCCAATTTTACTGATGAGCCTCTTCAGTCGCACTGATAAAATGTATTTTATTACGAAGTCGATGAAAATGCAAAATTACCGCCGCTTGTGTCGTACTTGAAATATTTTACAACGTACTCCTAAGTGACATATATTTGATATACGACACGCAGGTATAATAATTCTAACACTGCATATTTCTTTTCATTCTCGAAAAAAAGTCTTTCATCGTAAATTACCGTTTATTTTTTCGAACGAAAACTTTCCGAGCATCGTTTCCTTTGCATCTCTTTATTCGACATTAAGTATCTTTGTAATCGAAAACAAGATCCAGCCAAATGAACTCACATGAGATACCGCTGAATATTCTATGCTTTTATTTATGAGTTTCGGTATGTGCGGCAAATAAATCAAATTCTACGTGTGTATTTATAGCGGAGAACGTCAAAATAATTATATGTTGCGAAATTATACCTCGCCGCTATGCCGAATTAGATCGAGCCGAGGTCAGGAGACAAGCGGGCAGGATTCGCGGTTAACTGGCTCGAGAAGGGAAAATCTCGACGATGCCTGAACGTAGGGTGAACCGAACGGATAAGCACAGCGCAAATTGCACGATCGTGCGGTGCTGCCGCGGAATCCCTAATGCTTCGATATTTACTTTGACCATCGCCATCGACACGGGAATAGTCGGCGCTTGACTAAACAATATTGCGCGCGCGAACGACTATCACTAGGCTACTGGCTCGTTCGAGATGGGTGCCGTGGTCCGTGGATCGGCCATTGTAGAGTGTATCAGCGAGTATTACTTATATTTATATGTATTGATATCAACGTCTCACGGAGAAAAGGGTTCCTTTAGATTCGGTGTTTCTGTCTGTTCGACTTGGATTCACTCTCTTGAAACAATACAGTTTACCACGAAACGGTTCGTTGATTTCAATTGAAAAAATGTCAAATCTTTTGTTTTTATTGAATCAGACAGTTATTTATTTTATTAATATTTGTTGAATTAATAACGCAAGTTGTGGCTTGCGCATCACGATGCATATCGAAAAGCACGGGCGTAAAAGAACAGAGGGGGCTAGAATTCCCGCACAGTTCCTGTGTATAAAGAGGCGATTAAATATTTATCCAGAAGGTGCTGGACATCTGTCGACCACGCCTTGTTGCACTTTATTTTGCCACGGTGTATTTGTTTAACATTAACGCTTCGCGCGCGCGCACTCTCACCCTAATTCGCTTCCTCGCTTCGTCGTCGTCGTCGTCGTCACTTCAGCAAACAACGGCACACATGCTACAGTCTGCTCGAGGTTGGTCCGTGGCCAAACACGAATTATTAGCGTTGTCTTTGGCATACGTACCACGGCGAACACATTGATGACGTAGTCAGCGAATCCGGGACAACTTTTGAAAAAGAAGAATGAAAAAATGAACGGACAACGGACTTTTGACATGTACATCTCTCTTTTATCGTCCCAGAACTGTCACAAATGAGTCAATTGAAACCTGATTACATTTTCATTCTCATTAATTTCTTTCGAAATTCGAGTGTTATCGGAAAATATGAAGGAACTTTTGTGTCCAATAAATAATCACGGTGTAATAAGGAAATATAGGCATGTCTCAATCCGTTTTGTTTGTTTACAATCTTCTGGCAACAACGAAAACAAGTGTAATATAATACATACTATATCATTAGCCATCCGCAGTTAGGTCGGGAACACACAGAAAAACGTAAGCAGTAAAACTTGAGCAGTAAGCAAATTGAAGTTTGCAGTAAGCAAGCACAGCCGATGACTCTTCTTATGATCCAACAATAATCGGTTGTGATCGTTCAGTTTTCTTACTGCTCAAGTCTTACTACACTTACGTTATGTTTTTCTGTGTGTCATCTGCTTTACCAAAAAACTATACACGTCTGACAGGTTCTTTATTTGTGCCTATAGAGCTAGAATCTTACAGATTCACGCTGATATTTTTTAACTGACTTCTCAGTAATTATTGTGAAGATCGTAAAGGACATTTTTTTCCATTTACTGCACCTTACCTGCACACGAGCGTTGCTGTGGTAGTTGTGAGGCACCAATACCGGCAGTGCTGCCTTGTCGGATTAACTCGCCCTCACATACTTTAACATAACTTTAAAGTGGTCATGATGTCGATCTTAAGGAAATGTTCTTCCTCCTTTAAAGGAACATATCTCAGCAAACTAAACCTTTCCTTTCATCCTTGTCTTTGCTTCTCCTTCGCGGCTAACGTTCCCGCTCGTAAAGGAACGTCAGACACAGGCGTGATCAATTTCAGATTAATTAATACGCGAACGAACTAGCAGTGTCCGCCGCCTAGTTACAACTGGAAATTTCGTGAAAAATTGCCACGCCGATCGCACAACCGACGCGCGATCAGCAACAACGACAAAAGCAGCAGTAGCAACAACAGTAGCAGCAGCAGCAGCTGATAAAAATCCAATAGCCCCAGTGTTTGCCAGCCGGAAAGGGCAATCACGTTCATCATGGTGTCCTGCGCTCCCGCCGCCTCATAGTGCCTGCATTCCCCACCCCGCATCCCTTCCCATCCCCCGCGCAGCCACCCCCGCTCCACCCGTCAACCCCCGCCGCCTCGACCGCCGCGCGAGCAGTTACGTCCTACGAGCCCTGAACGTAGCCGCCCCTGGAAAATCCGGGGGTGGGATTCACGTGCGCACACGTTGAGGAACGAACAGTTCAGGGAGTGACGAGGAGGGACGAAGATTGAAGGGGATCACCGCAGAGCGTAAGGGAGCGTCGGGGACAGGTTGGAGGGATGGATGTGGCTGGAGAGGGAAGGGGGTTGGCGGAGAGTGGTGAGATAGAGCAGGGTCGAAGGGGGAGATC